TACTCGAAGACGAAACCACTTTCTCCATCTCCAGATTTTGCTCTCGATCTTTACTCATCTTCATGGTAAGTATTTTCACCAATTTCCTTCCTCCAAATTCGACTTTCCTGTTTACCAAAAGAAAAAAATTCGACTTTCCTTTGTCGCTGATACGATCGGATGATGATTCTTCTCTTTCCGACAGATTTGGTAACTATTCCGACGAACGATTCGGTGGAAAGAAGAAATGGAAAAGTTATGATGGAATCACAAGTAGAAACGGCGGTATGTTTCTTCGTCTTCATATATAGCATGCAGAAAACACTGAGAGATTTCTATGAATCGTTTTGGTTTTCAGTGATTTTTGAGTAATTGGGTTTCTAAATTTGAGTAATTCCAGTGAGAGATTTCCATGAATCGTTTTGGTTTTCAGTGATTTTTGAGTAGTTGTCTTTAATTTCGACGAATTTTTGTAGGTTAAGCTGATGAGTAACGCTGGTGGTGAGCAGATTTGTCAGATATGTAGTGACAATGTTGGGAAAACTGTGGATGGAGATTTCTTTGTTGCGTGTGATTTCTGCTCCTTTCCAGTCTGTAGACCTTGTTATGAGTATGAAAGGAAAGACGGAAACCAGTCTTGTCCTCAGTGCAAGACCAGATACAAGAGACACAAGGGTACACATTTGATGTTTATTTTTCAGCTTCCTTGTATTCTCTGTGAACTTAAAGTTTGTGCATTTTATCAGTAGTTGAATCTTTGTTATTGAGTGTAGGTAGTCCTGCCATTCCTGGAGATAAAGACGAGGATGGTTTTGTTGACGATGGTGCTGGTCAGTTTAGTTATACAGAAAACTCACAGAAGGAGAAGATATCAGAGCGTATGCTTGGATGGCATCTTACGCGAGGGAAAGGGGAGGAGATTGGGCACTCTGAGTATGACAAAGAGGTCTCTAACAATCTAATTCCTCGTCTCACTAGTAGACAAGAGGTAATGCATTATGGATTCTATTTCTCCCCCTTTGTGGCATTCACATACAGCTTGAGTGACATTGTGAATGTTGGGATCTGATTTGTTGTCTTTCGCTTGTTGATAGGTTTCTGGAGAGTTTTCAGCCGCTTCACCTGAACGCCTGTCTGTATCTTCTACTATAGCTGGTGGGAAGCGGCTTCCCTACTCATCCGATATCAATCAATCACGTAGTTACCGTTTTTTCTATATGACCATCATATATACGTCCCTAAGGTTTTCAATTTTGGTCAGCGCTAAGCTTTGTTGTATTGCCCTTGCAGCAAACAGAAGGATTGTGGATCCTGTTAGGGACTTTGGTTCAACAGGGTTAGGCAATGTAGCTTGGAAAGAGAGAGTTGACGGCTGGAAAATGAAGCAGGAGAACAAATCTGGTCCTGTGAGCACTCAAGCTACTTCTGAAAGGGGTGTAGGGGATATCGATGCCAGCACTGATGTCTTTGTTGACGAGGCTTTGCTGTGAGTACTAGTTTTGTTATCTCTTTGGTCCTTAAGGGTATTCGGTGTCAGTGATGACTCAGTTTTCTTTTTATTTATTTTCCAAATTCTACATTGTACAGGAACGACGAAGCTCGGCAGCCTCTATCAAGAAAAGTATCGATTCCATCATCACGGATAAATCCCTACAGAATGGTTATAATGCTGCGGCTCGTAATCCTGTGTCTCTTCTTACATTATCGTATCACAAATCCAGTGCCAAATGCATTTGGTCTATGGCTGGTATCAGTGATATGTGAGATCTGGTTTGCCATATCATGGATTTTGGATCAGTTCCCAAAGTGGTTTCCTGTTAACCGCGAAACGTACCTCGATAGACTATCTTTAAGGTATGTTGTATTTCTCTGTTCTGAAGCTTTAACTTACTGCCATTTGGTCTTTTGCATATTTATCTGTTTATTTTGAGTCTGGGGATATCTGCTAATCCTTTACTTCATCGCAGATATGATCGTGAAGGTGAACCATCACAGTTAGCTGCTGTTGACATTTTTGTGAGTACCGTTGACCCCTTGAAAGAGCCCCCTCTGGTGACAGCCAATACAGTACTCTCTATTATGGCGGTTGATTACCCGGTGGACAAGGTGTCTTGTTATGTTTCTGATGACGGTGCTGCTATGTTATCATTTGAATCACTAGCAGAAACATCTGAGTTTGCACGGAAATGGGTACCTTTCTGCAAGAAGTATAATATTGAGCCACGGGCACCAGAATGGTACTTTGCACAGAAAATTGATTACTTGAAGGATAAAGTTCAGACGTCATTTGTCAAAGATCGTAGAGCTATGAAGGTAAGTTTGTAGTCTAGTCACTGGAAACGTCCGTAATTAACTTTTTGCATGCTATAATTACTTGGAATATTTCTGGTAGAGGGAGTATGAGGAATTCAAGATCCGAATCAATGCACTTGTTTCCAAGGCTCAGAAAGTTCCTGAAGAAGGCTGGGTTATGCAAGATGGTACACCGTGGCCTGGAAACAACACAAGAGACCATCCAGGAATGATCCAGGTGAGGAGTACAGGAATAGTGGGACCAGGGAGTTTCCTTTTTTACCTTTTCAGCCCATTCTTTGCCTCTAAATCTTGTTTCCAGTTGTGTTATTTAAAACAATCATCTCTCGTTTTGCGTGGTCTTGTATTAAATTTGTTCCCTCATTCTCTAAAAGCTAGCTCCTTTTGAGTCAGGTGTCACTGAGGTATCTATTGTTGAGTGCAGGTTTTCTTAGGACAAAATGGTGGACTGGACGCGGAGGGAAATGAGCTTCCACGTTTGGTCTATGTTTCTAGAGAAAAGCGACCGCTTTTCCAGCACCACAAAAAGGCCGGTGCTATGAATGCACTTGTATGTTTCTGATCAATGAATTTTTTCTTTCCTTAATTATCTATTTTCGCATCTAATGAGCATACACTCTTCACTTGAACAGGTTAGAGTTTCAGCAGTCCTTACTAATGGACCTTTCCTACTGAATCTTGATTGTGATCATTACATAAATAACAGTAAGGCCTTAAGAGAAGCTATGTGCTTCCTAATGGATCCAAACCTTGGGAAGCAAGTGTGTTATGTCCAGTTCCCACAGAGATTTGATGGTATCGATAGAAACGATAGATATGCTAACCGTAATACCGTTTTCTTCGATGTAAGTTGCACATTCCACATTCTGTGTCTATTTTCTGTGGAAATTTGGATTTCCATCTAACAAAAATGTCATCAACTCAGCATGATATTACTTTTGTTGTCATTTGTCCATGATTTGCGCTGCAGATAAATTTGAGAGGCTTAGATGGGATTCAAGGACCTGTATACGTGGGAACTGGGTGTGTTTTCAACAGAACTGCATTATATGGTTATGAACCTCCAGTGAAACCAAAACATAAGAAAGCAAGTGTTCTATCTAGACTTTGTGGAGGATCACGAAAGAAAAATTCCAAATCTAAAAAAGACTCTGACAAAAAGAAATCTGGCAAACACACGGACTCAACAATTCCTGTATTCAACCTCGATGATATAGAAGAGGGAGTTGAAGGTAAACTTGTTTCTCCTTTTTCAGTTATCTGTTATACGAATATGTTGATTTTGAGATTTCTACAGTTGGTTAACACTTAAATCTCTTGAACTATTCCACATTTGCAAAATAGGTTCTGGTTTTGACGATGACAAGGCGCTCTTGATGTCGCAAATGAGGTTGGAGCAGCGATTTGGACAATCTGCTGTTTTTGTTGCTTCTACCCTTATGGAAAACGGAGGTGTTCCTCCCTCTGCAACTCCAGAAAACCTTCTCAAAGAAGCTATCCATGTCATTAGCTGTGGATATGAGGACAAAACAGAGTGGGGAACAGAGGTATTTTCCCATTTCTACTTTTACTCGATGGTGTGTTCTTTGTCTATACTCTGACTTATGTTTTTGACCTTGTGTTTTCATTTTTCAGATTGGATGGATCTATGGCTCTGTTACAGAAGATATTCTCACCGGATTCAAAATGCATGCCCGTGGTTGGAGGTCAATCTACTGTATGCCCAAACTACCGGCATTCAAAGGATCTGCTCCAATTAATCTTTCTGATCGACTGAACCAAGTGCTCCGGTGGGCTCTAGGTTCAATTGAGATTCTCTTCAGTCGGCATTGTCCAATCTGGTACGGTTATGGAGGGAGGCTGAAATTTCTTGAGAGATTTGCATATGTCAACACCACCATTTACCCAATCACCTCCATTCCTCTCCTCATGTATTGCACATTACCTGCCGTTTGTCTCTTCACCAACCAATTCATTATCCCTCAGGTTTGCTCTTCTCTCGTAAATGTTAGTTTTATCTCACTCCATCTATCTCGGATGCTGATCCACTTGTCTTTGTGTAGATAAGTAACTTGGCAAGCATATGGTTTCTGTCTCTCTTTCTCTCCATTTTCGCCACTGGTATACTCGAAATGAGATGGAGCGGAGTGGGCATAGACGAATGGTGGAGAAACGAGCAGTTTTGGGTCATTGGTGGTGTATCGGCTCACTTATTTGCAGTCTTCCAAGGTCTCCTTAAAGTTCTGGCCGGTATCGACACCAACTTCACAGTCACCTCGAAAGCCTCAGACGAAGACGGTGACTCCGCAGAACTTTACTTGATCAAATGGACAACACTTCTAATCCCACCAACGACTCTGCTCATCATAAACCTTGTAGGAGTGGTAGCAGGAGTCTCTTATGCTATCAACAGTGGATATCAGTCTTGGGGACCTCTCTTTGGTAAGCTCTTCTTTGCCTTTTGGGTGATTGTTCACTTGTACCCATTCCTCAAGGGCTTGATGGGTCGACAAAACCGTACTCCAACCATTATCGTGGTCTGGTCGGTCCTTCTTGCTTCCATCTTCTCATTGTTGTGGATTCGGATCGATCCGTTTACATCTAGAGTCACTGGACCAGACGTGCTGGAATGTGGAATCAACTGTTGAGATAAGCGTTTTGAGGGACACATATAATGTTAAATATTATCGTAGTTTTCTTTTTCTTCTTTGGTGTTATGGGTAATGATGTTAATATCAATGTTAGTGTAAAGAAAATAAAGAGTCTAAATGTGAAGCAAAACATTGTCTCTAAGATTGAAAACGCAAGCCTAACGTTTGTTGTTGATGTTTTGAGGGAACACATAGGGTAGTGTACTAGTGTTTGCGTTTGACTTGTTGATTAGAGAACATATTTGGATAATGACCACCTTGCTTATGCT